GTGTGTGTGTGTGTGTGTGTGTGTAGTGTGTGTGTGTGTCGTGCGCGCGCGTGTGTGTGTGTGTGTGTGTGCGCGCGCGTGTGCGTGTGTGTGTGCGTGTGTGTGTGTAATAAAAACTGTCATTTTTACAAAACTTTTTAGAATAGATATAGATGCTTTCTATCAATACACTGTGAATACATATTGCTAATATTCTTCAGGTTCATGCTCTTTAAAAAAATATATATATGCATATATAAATTCTCATTCTATAAAAATTTTAAGATAATAAATCTACTAATAAATCTAATTTTATTCTTTTTAATCTACAAACGACAAAGTATTATTCTATTATTATAAAATAAGAGTAATACTTGCTTGCGTTAGAAATAAGAGAATATATTGTAACTTACAATTTTTTAAAGAAAACAAAAAGTGATCTTATAATCGATGAACATTCTAGAGGGTATCCCGAAATTCGCGAATCAAAATATCATAGCAAGAAAGTCTTCGAAAAATTAAGTAAAAAAGGATTTGGAAATTTTTATTTTAAGCAAGTTTTGTTGAGATATAAGGGTTTAAATTTAGCCAATTATAGATTAGTACTCGCATGAAGTGCGCGACCACTAACGCTACGACGCACTCACGGACATGTTTCCGTTTAATCGTAATCTGTAACTGACTAAATTTAAACTCTTATATCTCAAAAACTACTGCTTAAATTAAAAATTTACAAATAACTTTTTTACTTAATTTTTTGAAGACTTTCTTGCTATGATATTGATTCGCGAATTTCGGGACACCCTGTATATATAATACATATACATTATCAGATAACTAAAATACATAACACATTATATACAAATATATTGCTTTATAGATTCCTGATTTTTATACTTACTTCCTCTTTATCTACATCTTTGTAGAATACATATATTAGAAATTTGTATTATCTATTTATGTCTACCCAATAAAAATTTAAAACACAATTACACAACATTAAAGGTATGATTTCATACAGAGATGCATTGAAACCTTTAATTCTTCTTATATACAATAAGAACAGTATACATAATATAATAATTCAATATATAAAAATAAAATTTACTAAATATTAATTTGCAAAACATCTCTGTATACATTAGACATAAATATTTATAAAATATAAATTTGTATCATGCAAAATGGAAATAATAAATAAATATATACATATATCAGTCACATGTTCTTAATAATACAATAATAATGATCTCTAAAAGATGTCTCGTCTGCAAAGATGCTTCATGATTCTAGAACTACAGAGATGCATTTGGGCGAGCTTAAAGCTTTGTAAGTATACCTCATATTCATAGACATCTTCCTGACAGGTACTGATCATGGATGTCAATTCAGCATCAATGTAGTAGCGGCTCATACGCTTAACATTAGTAGAACATTAAAACTTAGTACCATCAAAACTTAATATATCAAACTTTCATCCATTATAATTTTCTTTCCCATTATCTTCATTTTATTCATTTATTTATGAACTGTTTTTTATTTTATTAAATTGTTAATAAAACTTTATTTTTTTAAAATAGCTTTCCAAATCAAATATTGCGATATTCGAGGAAAAAATTCATTCAATCTTCAAAAAAACATTGAAAAAAATATGTATAAATTGCTAATATAAATGTTTGATAAAAAATTATTATACAAGGGAAAGAACATGAGACTTAAAGTATTAAAGTATATTTATTATTAGTACTTAAGTATATTTATTAATCAGGGTTGGGTAGTGCCTAAGTTAAAAAGATAAAAGTTAAGTTAAAAAGTTAAAAAGTTAAATAATTTTAACTTACAAGGAGAGTTACCCAGGTGTCCGCCTCCGATTTCGATGAGCTTTTGATATGTTATTCTCTAGA